CCTAATTCTTCTATACTCTACTCCATTTAAATCTTCAACTAAAAATGACCAAGGCTGTTTACAACTTTACACTATTCTTCCTGGAATCCATACTGACATAGGATTTTTTTCAAAGTATACTACTTTGTCTCCTATCTCTATAGGCTTTAGAAATTTTGAGGCTCTTTTTGATTTGATTTTGATTTGTTTTTGAATAAGTATTTTCTTATTTTACTTTGTTCAGCAATTTAGACTTTAAATTATTAGACATTGACGGTAATTTCATTCTAAGTTTTCTAACCATTAAAAGTTCAGCTGGAGTTGTAAAATTATTTTTAGGAGACGCACGATATTAAAGTAAAGCTGTATAGTAATCCGCTCCTGTTTCTAGACATTTATTTAAGTAAGCAAGTAAGTAACTTTTTAATAATTTGTACTGATCTTTCAACCAGTCCACTTGACCTTGGTAAATATTGACTCGACGTGATATGATCTACACCCCAGTCAACAAAAAATTTTGGAAATCGAGAAAATTAAATGGCGGGCCATTGTATGATATTAAGTACATTGGTATTCCGTGACGTGAAAATATGCTCTTCAATTTTGTTACAACTGCTAAATTTAAAGAATCTGAGTTTAACGATTCGATCTCAATAGATGTGGAAAAATAATCTACTACTAGCGAGTAAGTCCTTTTGTTAAGTTCGAAAAGGTCTATTCCTACTTTGAACCAAGGAATTGAAACCACTTCGTGGCTTAGAAACTCTTCTATGGGGTTAGAGATCTTGAATTCTATACAAATTTCGCAACTAGATACTAAATTATAGATATCATTATTAATATATGGTCAAAAAATTGATTTTCTTGCCAAACTTTGACATCTTTGAATCCCTAAGTGACCCTCATGAAATCGAGACAACATTTTTGTCTTAAATTTTTTGGAATAATTACTCTATTATTTTTTAGTAATAAATATTTAATTTCATGAATACTATTTTTGATACTAAAATACGGGCTAATATCTAAGTCGCACAATTTCTTTGAGGTGGGTCAGCCTTCTTTCACATATTTTAAAAGTGTTTGATATGTGTCATCATTTTTTATGAACTGTTTTAAATCTTCAATATCATCTCTCAGTAAAGCAATTTAAAAAGCTATTGAATAACAATAAAGGTCTATATCTGCATCAATATTTGTAAATGATTCAACCTTTAAAGGTGAGCGAGTTAATGCATCAGCGACATACCATATAAATGTTTTTCTGGTTTATAAATTACTGCTAAATCATATGCCAGTAATCTAAGCATACATTTTTACAGCCTTGAAAGTATTTGATGAAGAAGTTTATTAAAGAGGAATACTAATGGTTTATGGTCGGTTTATACAATAATATTGTGACTGTACATTAGTGTCACAAAAAAAGCCAATTATTTTTTTTTCAACGCATACCCTGTGATTATGTTTGAATGGTGTCAAAACAATTGTAAATGAATTTTCATGTAATTAGAAATAAAGGAACCCGTGCCGACTTGTCAATACTTATCAGAACTTGCATCCTTTAGCGCATCGCAGCAAAGTTATTGCAGTGCTCGTTATTACTTGTTTGTTTTTAGTAGTAAGCGCATTATTTTGATTCAGTCAATATGTCAATAGGATTACGCAGTTTTAAAAAGGGAATATTTTTAATTGGGGATGTAAAACATCAAATCACTGGTTCAAAACTTTTCTCTAATGGATAAGTATTGGCAGTTCTGTTCTACAATATTCGTGAAGTGAATCTAGGTTAGGTTAGGTTATACCGGTGATCCCTAGTGGATCCACTTAGGCCTATTGGCCCATTGTGATGCCGTATATAAATACTAAAAACCTCAGGGTTTAAAACCACCTAGAACCTTTTGCGAAGCATAAAATGCTATTTAAAGCCCGATCCTGTAACTGGTCCAGGTCCTCAAGGAAGGGGGCCCCTAGAGTACTAAATCGCCGACGTGCATGAGCTGGACAAAAACACAACAGATGAGATGCGCTCTCATCGTCCTCCCCACAGCTACGACAGATTTGGTTGAAAGGAAGACCTAGTCTTCTAGCATGGTTCCCTAGCTTACAGTGCTCTGTAATCAACCCTACCAGAAGACCAATGTCCTTGCGGGACATCTCAATGAGAGTTTTCGATTTCCTTTTATCGGAAAGTGGCCAGATTGCATACAGATGTCTACATATCGTTGAGTCTTCCCATCTTTTATTAAAAGTATTAGTGCAGAAAGAACTCAATATCAGTTTACATGATGTTAGCGATATGCCCAGATAGTCTAGGTGCTCCGAGTATGGTTCTGAAGCACCCTTTCTGGCTTACTCGTCTGCTTTGCAATTTCCGAAAATATCCCTATGGGCGGGAACCCAGATTAGAGAAATATTGAGCTGCGTCGACATTTCGTTTAGAGATGTGTAGCAGTCAAGCACCGTCCTAGATGTAAATTGGACCGAACTCAAGGACTTTAATGCAGCTTGACTGTCTGATAGTATGTATATATTCCTGCCAAATATATCATCTACATTCAAACAAGCTATAGCTTCCCTGATGGCGACAACTTCCGCCTGAAAGACACTATAATGATCTGGAAGCCTAAAGAAGGAAGATTTGTTCAATTCCTCTGAGAAAACTCCACTACCTACACCACTACTTGTTTTGGATCCGTCAGTGAAGATGGTTACGCCCTCATCTAAGAAGGAGCCACCTGACGTCCATACCTCTCTAGATGGAAACACGACATCAAATTTCCTGTCAAAGTTGAGAGTGGGTGTGATGTAATCAACGTTTTTAGGAGTAAAATTGAAAAGATTTAGAATGGAGGCATGACCATAGTCACTGTCTCTCCATTGTGAGGTAGCTTTTAGTCTTAAAGCAGATGAAGCTGCCATTTGTTTACTAATAATATCCATTGGCAGTAACGAAGCATCAAATCTAGTGCAATGGATGGTGTGGTGCATAGCGCCCCGCTAATACAGAGTTCAGCTCTACGCTGAATCCTGTTAAGTACTGAGCAGTACGAAGATTTATCAAGAGCTGTCCACCATACCGTAATACCATACATCAATATGGGCCTAATAACAGCTATATATAGCCATTGAATGATGCGAGGTTGAAGACCCCACTTCTTACCAATAGCTTTCTGACATAGAAGAAGCGCAACATTGGCTTTTCTTGCGCGCTCTAGAGTGTTTTTCTTCCAAGTGAGTTTCCTGTCGAAAACTATACCTAAAAATTTGGCTTCCTCCTTCACATGTATCACAGAACCTCGTAGAGAGGGTGGAGAAAGATTCGGGACCGTATGTTTTCTTGTGAAAACTACGATTTCAGTTTTATTGGGATTCACCCCAAGGCCACATTTTTGTGTCCAATTGTTTAGGATATTAAGACCATTTTGTAGAATATCCCTAAGAGTGGTAGTATATTTTCCGGTGACTGTTATCGCAATATCATCCGCATATGCAATAGTTTCGCATCCCTCCGCCTTCAGTTTTATTAGCAGTTCATTCACCACTATGTTCCAAAGGAGAGGGGAGAGTACTCCTCCTTGGGGGGAACCTCTATTTACCCTTCTGCGTGCCGTTGATGAGCCTATCGTTGCTTCAATGAGTCTGCCAGTTAGCAGCTGATTTATAAAGCCAATGAGCGCATCATCAACACCCAGACGCTTACTATTGCACTCGGGAGTATATTGTTGAAGGCCCCTTCAATATCTACAAAAGCAACCATACAAAATTCTTTGAGTTTTATGGATTTTTCTATTCTGTAAGTGAGGGAGTGGAGAGCTGTCTCTGTAGATTTTCCCTTAGTGTAGGCATGCTGTGAGGGGGACCACTGGTTGGGGCTTACAGCACGCCTTACTTCTATGTCTATTATCCTTTCAAGAGCCTTCAACATGAAAGAGGAGAGGCTTATAGGACGGAGTTCATTGGGGTTATGGTGCGAGGTTTTTCCTGCTTTAGGTATAAAAACTACTCTAACCTCCCTCCATTTAATCGGGACATAGTTAAATAAGAAACAATGTCTAAAAATTGCCAAAAGCCGGTTGTGTATTAACTCCCACGAGTTCTGGAGCTCAATTGGATGAATACCATCCGGTCCTGGTGATTTGTAGGGTTTAAAACTAAAAATAGCCCATTTGACGATCTGCAGGTTAACCTTAATAGAGTTAACCGGTGAGAGATTAAGGCACTCTGAGGATGCAGCTACCGAAGTAGAAGATCCCGGAAAGTGAGTATCTAGTAGTAATTGTAAAGATTCGCTACTATTATTGCACCATGTCCCGTCAGATTTTTTGAGTAACTCTGGGACAGATGGATTTTTGGATAAGATTTTACGCAGTCTAGAGGTTTCAGAATTGCTATTTATTTCTTGACAGTACGATTGCCAAGTGTCTCTCTTGGACCTACGTAAATTTTTCTTATATTCTTGCAGAGAGGTTTTGTAATTCAGCCAATCACTCTCATTATTATATAATTTTGCTCTGTTGAAGAGTCTCCTACACTCCTTTCGTAAAAGACCTAGATGCTTATTCCACCAAGGTGGGTTACATTTCCTACTAGGTTGTGTGAGGGGACAAGCATAACTGAAAGCTTCGTTGAGCACTGAGGTGAGATCTTGGACTTGATTGTCTAGATCAAAAGTGTTCCCAGGGGGATCGGAGGAAGTGGTTAAGAGCAGCTCACTTAGAGCTGCATTATAATTCGTCCAGTTTGTGTTTTTAACATTTCTAAACGTTTTTTGATTGTAGATGTTCGATTCATCCAAGGTTAAGGTGAATTCTAGAATCATATGGTCTGAGAACGAGTGTTGAGTGGACACTTTCCAGTTCTTGACCGATTCGTGAAGCCTAGCAGTAGCAAGAGTGACATCTAACACTTCCTGCCTGTTTTTTGTAATAAAAGTTGGCATATTGCCATCATTGCAGATGAACAGATTGTTACTAAATACAAAATCAAAAAGTAACTCACCTCTTTAATTAGTATATGAGCTGCCCCAAACCTCATGATGAGCGTTGGCATCGCAACCTATTAGAAGCTCTACCCCGAGTCTCCTGGCGCTGCTTGTTAGCTGTATCAGGACATTCGATGGTAGTGTGGCATGGTCATGTGCCAGATATGCAGATACTGCCCATATTTGGCCCCAGGAGCCCTCGATACTTACTGCGGTTTGGTCACCATCACTATATTGCGAAAGTAAGAGAGCATTAAATTTTTTATTAACCACTATGCAGGACCTAGGCTTACCCTTATTTACCGCATAAAATAGGTTGTAGTTATTAGCCCTGATTCCGCATACAAGATCCTTATAAATCCATGGTTCTTGTATCAGGACCATATCAGCCTCGTTGTTGCTGAGGCGTTGCAGTAGACTGGCGGATGCAGCCTTGCTATGATGCAGGTTAATTTGCTGTACCCGCATCTTCAGTATGTGTGGATCCATTTTTCTCCACCACAGTGACATCAAGAGCACTATCCTCCTCAGAGTCATTACTCATTAGGAGTTCCTCTTCATCGAAAAGATAGCGCATGCCTATGCTCTCCTCTGATGTAATTGAGTGAGCTGGCGAAGGAGCAGACACTGAAATGTCCATGCACACAGGTGAGTCTTCAGATGGAATAACCGGACTCACTTCGGTCATGGAAGCAGGCTTAATATTGCCCACTTTCGATAAGGGATCAGCAGTGTGTTGAGAAATTGCCGCTGATTCCCGTACATCAGACGAGGATTGCTCCTCATCTTTTTTGTAGACCCTCATAGTTATGGGGAAAAAACCGTAATTTAATACGCCACCAGATCGCGCCAAAATGGCCAGAGAGGCTTTGTCGATCACAAAACTGACCGACCTAAACTTGCCTTTGGCTTCTTTCAGCTTAGTGACCTTCCACGTGGACGTATTTAGATCAGGGTTTCCCACCCGAATTAGCTCCAGAATCCGCTGAGGGTCGGATGGTTCGGCTGGAATCCAGGAACGCGCCCTAGGTCGGCCAGGAATTTGTTCCTTGGCAACGACTTTAAGCTTTGCGCCTGGCCAGACCTCACCCATTCTGGAGATGGCAATGCGAAAGAGATCAACAGAACGCTGATCAACGCAGGCGACTAGTTTCACATGGCCCTGAAACCATCCACCGTCGCGACATTTGGGAATTGTACCTGGAAATTCCTTAAGAACTTCGACGTACAAGTCAAGGAGCTTTCGCTCAATTTGATCCCATTTTTCAGGATTAATAGTGCCATCTGGATCATTTTCATCAATGACCGCCATTATGATGGAGCCCTTCAGCGTGTCGCTAAAGGACTTAGTAGTGGTGGCGTTGCCACGTAATTTTGCCTTTTTGGCATCTGGCTTCGAAGCTGACTCATCTAATGAGCGCTGGCGCTTCGGTACAGGTTCCTTTTTGACTTCCTTAGAAGTATCAAGGACCCGTTTGGCCCAGGCTAATCTAACCTTAAGAGACTCGGACGTAACCGAGACATTGCCATATCTCTCGAGCAGTCTAGTCGCCGCTCGCCGTTCTTTATAAATTCTCCTGGATGGAGAGCCCGACCATGCAGAGGGGCCAGAACGCGTGGAGATTCCTGGTTTGTTAGGAGGTACCCTGTTATTACCGCTAGAAGTGGCGGTAGGTACCTTGGAACTAGCCGTTCCAGAAGAGCTTGGTTTAACCGAGCTTGATTTTTGTAAATTTTTATTATTTTGGTTCATATTTTAAACCCACGAGTTGCGGAGAAAGGAAAGTCGATCCGGGCAGAGATCCGCTATACCCGGACAAGGCTAAATTACAACCGGAGGGCGCCAGTTATCCGGAGGTCTCCGTTTAGAGACACACTAACGTAGTGCCATTCATCTCATCGACACGGGTCGAATAACACCGGAGATTACGGGTTTTATCAAGTTTTCCTCTCAAGATCCATAGTGTTCTGTTGAGTCAATGAGGTTATCAACTATAAACAGGTTCACCTCGAGAAGGGTGTGATAAAGTACCACGCACCATGGTCTTGGTACGGCATAGGCTGATGTTTTGCGCATGACCATACCCTGTTCATTGAGAACACGAACCCAAGTGAATCTAAGTATCAATGAAAGTGTAAATCTTACTATTCGTGAGTGTATTATTTATTGAGAAAAGGCACGTATACCAACTGAAGCTTTACCTAACTGTGTTAAGAAGCTAATTACATTATACTAAGTTTGGAGAGGTTTGCAGAAAAATGCGAACAAAACACAAAACGTGTACGAGCAGCGTCGACAAGAGTTAATTACAAACTTAGACAATTTGTTTGACATTGCACATACTGACGCGCTTCAATTAATAAAGATAAATGAAGACAAAATCTTCTTGCAGCGCCAGAGAGAACCAGGTCGACCTGGTCATTTAGCTGGAGTGGACAAAAAATTGGCCAAAAAAAGAGGAAAAAGCGCGTCTTAGAAACATTGAGGAACAAAAACGTCGTGTTAATTATTGTTTATTCTTAACTGCTTTGACGTCATCTTATCAAGAAAATTTATCTTCTGATTCTGAAATAATGGATCTACAAGAAAATTTACCCATCCAAACTGGGAGTGCACAGTCCGATACTAAAAAAACTTCTATGAGGAAAAATTTTATTACTCCAAAGTAAGTGTCAGCTTTAGATAGGAGTCAGTTAAGTATGAGAAATTCTGTATTTATTATTAAAGCTACTATTGAGGCACTTGGATACAATACTGACGAATTTCCTATAAGCAAGTCCTCCATTCAAAGAATTCGCACAGAAAAACGAAAACAACGTGCAGAAATTATTAAAGTCGATATCCAAAACGAAGTACCAGACACTGTAACTGTCCATTGGGATGGCAAATTGTTGTCGGCTTTAGATGTGCGCAAATGTGGAGAAGAACTTCTCCCGATTGTTGTTTCGTATGGTGATAAAGAACAACTTATTGCGGTGCCAAAATTAGACAACTGTACAGGAAGTGAACAGGCACAGGCAGTTTGGAATGCGGTTACTGACTGGAATCTCGAAGATAAAGTGCAAATCTTTTGTTGTGATACTACTGGTTCAAATACTGGTCTCATTAATGGTGCTTGTGTGCTTCTCGAACAAAAATTTAATTGAGATATGCCTATTTTTGCCTGCCGCCATCACATCTACGAATTGATATTGAAAGGCGTATTTGAAGCTAAAATTAATCAAGTTACCAACAACCCTAACATTCCATTACTCAAAAGGTTACAAGAAAACTGGACAAATATCGACCCTAAGAAAGTACAGTATCTTACAGAAAGGTTATCTTACCTGAATGCTTCAGAAATTGACAAACTGCTGGAATTTTTCCGAACTGAATTGACCAAGAAAATTGTTAGAAATAACTATAGAGAATTAATAGAGCTTTCAATAATATTCCTTGGTGGAGATACAGAAAAGAAATTTAAGATTCGACCTCCAGGTGCCATGCACCAAGCGCGATGGATGGCGAGGGCAATTTATTTATTAAAAATTTCATTACTTAGCTCTCAATTTAGAGTGCCTAATAAGGATAAAGCGGCTCTGTTAGACGTCTGCCTGTTGATCGTGACATCCTTCGTCAAACCTTGGCTGCAATGCATTTCAGCGGTAAAAGCACCTTACCAAGATTTGTGTTTTCTGAAGACCATGAAAGCTTACGAAACAATTGACAAAATTATTTTAAAAGAAGTTTTACAAAAGTTCTGTCAGCATTTATGGTATTTAATTGATGAAGCGGCTGTCTTGTCCCTATTTGACGATGATGTTGACCATGAAAGAAAGACAAAAATAGTTAATAACTTAGCCAAAGAAAACCCATCAGTCCACAGTAAACGATATATCCCTTCAAAAGAGGAACTTTGTGGTTCACCTTACGAGAAAAACATCGATGACTTTGTTTCATTCAAAAGCATGGCTTTGTTTAATCGACTCAAAATTGATGGCAGTTTTCTCAACGAATGTACTACTTCATGGTCTAGTAATGCTTCATTTCAAAATGCTAAAAACAAGGTGCTGACACTGAGAGCAGTTAATGATACAACAGAAAGAGCGGTTAAGTTAATGTAGGACTTTCATGGCAAAATCACTGTTGAAGACGAACAAAAGGAATTTTTACTACGCTGCGTACAAAAACACAGATATGTTTATCCTGACTGCAACAAACAAACCCGAAAAAGAAAATTAAATAATTATCATCATTTTAATAATAAATACTTAATAAATATAAGATACAGGTAAAATGGTGTTTTATTTACTGAATAAACATGAAGGTATAAAATGTCTTCTATAGTTTCTATACAAACTTTTTGTTAAAAGTTTGGGATCAAGTCGGCACCGGTTATCGTTATCCAATACCAATAATATTTATTATTTTAGTTACTAGTATCAAATAGAAAAAAATTAAGAGGTATGCGTATTTCAAATCGAAAAAAAAAATTTCGCTCTTGTACTCTGGGACACCCTACTGTATATATATTGATGAAATCGACTGCAACCAAAAAGAATAGTAAATAATTCCTTTTTTATTTGCTCATAATTTGTCTGGCATTCCATTAAAGACGTAGATGCATAAGCAATTGGGTTTCTCTCATGCATAATTATATCCACCATAACAACCTTTGATGTGTCTGCTGATACAGTCAATGGTTCAGTAACATCAAAATATGTTAAAACCGAAGCTTTTTTAATTTCTTATATTAAATTATTAAATGCTTCCTCTTTAGCTTTACCCCAGTCCCAAATAACATCCTTTTTTAATAAATTTCTAAGATGAAAGTTTTTTGTTGACAAATTGTGAATAAATGATCCCAAATATTTAACCATACCTAAAAAACGTTGGAGATCTTCGCTATTAGCGGGTGTAGGAAATACAGTAATGTAACGACACGGATTTTCCCGTTTCGTTATAATTTATGCTGGAGTATCCTCAGTCTTTTCCAGGGGGTCGCTACAATAAATTTATAGTCGCGGAGACAGGAGTTCTCAAAATAAAAGTTAAATTTTCGGTTCGGCGGTTAAATTTTCAATGCAGATTTATTTAAAATATTAATAATTCATTAAAATAATATGTAATAAAGAAAAGAATTCAATTAAACGTAACTAGATAAACCTTGAGATTAACAATTTGTACAATTTTTAACGATTTATATAAGATGGCTTTATGTAGATTATTATTCCTTCTATCGTATTTCAATAACTTGAGATTTTAAACGCATGCAAATTTTGAATGTATTTCCTTAGTCGTAAGAGGTTGATTAAATTTAATTAGATATGACTTGAGATGTTTCCTTGAGACCAGCTGTATTTGGAAGCTGTCCCTGTAGAGTTCACAGTGGTGGCTGATCCGGTTTCGATAAGTACCTACTGGACGAAACGGGGTTAGTAAATGTATACATGTCTTGTTATATTGAATATATGGTATATATAAAGTGTTTCCGCGCCTGGACTTAAAACCGCCCATGCACTCGTAAACAATTATATATATATTTTAATAGATTATACACCTAGGCTTAAAACCGCCACTGTGTCAGACAATTTTTAATATTTATTTATTTTATATGTTGACATACAATGCCACTGAGTGATCATACAAGACACACTAAATTCTTAACAAATTGCATCGTCTTTTATATGCATCCTATTGAACTTTTTATGTAAAATACACAAAGCTTTGAGTTGATCTTAGTTGAACTTAATGCGCCTTTTTTTTTAAATTGAATATAATATATTAAAATAAGTAAAATTAATTAATAAGAAATATCGGAGTTTTAATAATTAATTTAATAAAATTATTTATATAAACGACGTTCCCTTTTGTTTAAATTACTCCAAATGATGTGCGTAAAGTGGTAGTGCAAAGGTATTTAT